AAAAAAAAAAAGAAGAATAAAAAAGCGAACGCTTTTGCTACGCGTTCCACTTTCAGCTCGATGCGCCTCTGTGTATACGTGTACGGGAGCTTCTACCGATGTCATTGAACCTTCGCAGGCATGCTGGGCGAGGGAAAAGTGACTAGACTCTCCGAGTACCTTGAAGTGGTCGGAGTTCTAAGATGCTCGAATTTTGCCATATTAAGAATTTCTTTGTCCGTCTATTTTTCTTACCTCGACGCCTTTAATCGCTTTAACTCCCGACCACTTTGCTCGTGGATTACTTTGCTCGTGGTAAGATTTCTTTTTTTCTCAACCATCTCGACCTCCAATAGCTTTTCAACGAATTTTGATCGTTCGAATCGATTCGAAAAAAAAAAATAAAATTCTTTCTCTCCCCCCTCCCCAACTTTTTTCTCCCCCACTCCTCCTTCTCTTTCCTCCTCCTTCCCCTCCTCCTCCTCTTTTTCTTCCACGACTCTCGTTTAATTCTCCGGACGTGGAAGAGCTAACAACTCTTCTCGGTGTATCTGTACATCTTGGACGGTCACCTTACTCGCTCGGTTCCTAATCGATTTTCCCATTACGCGAATCCGGGGAGTGCTTCGCACACACTCGCTTCGTTTTCCGTCGTTCCGTGTCCAGCCTGCATTTCCGTCCACGAACAAACGGTCTCGATCCCTCCCCCTCCCATCTCCCATTCCATCTTCCTCTCCTACCGCCCTTCTCTTTCCTGCTCTTCTTTAAGCACATCCACGCGCCACCCGTGTTTCCATCCTTGTGTTTTCCTTCCTACGTCTCTCCCTCTCCCTCCCCCGTTCCTCTCGATGCTCTCGATGCTACGTCGTCCGCGCGGACCTGTCCATTTCCAAATCGGTCATCTCCAATCGCCATCTCCCCCCTTTACGACCCCGTTTTTCGACCGTTTCGTATCACGGTTACGAATCGGCTGGATCATCCCCGTTCTCTTTGTCGCGAATGGGGGGAAGGGGGAGATACGTCTGCTCCCCGAGATCCGAGATCGATAAGATTTGTTATTAGTCGATTTGTCGGGCAATTTGTCGGGTGAATGGGGATCGAACGAAAACTCGAAAGTAGGCCCCCGCTTTTTTTTTCCGTCGTCTCGCAGTCGGATAATCGTGTTAAGAGGTTTAAGAGGAAAGAGAACGGGACAATAGAGGGTGAGATGCACGCTCCTCGAGCGAGAATTAGAAAAGTCGATAGGAAGCGATAGGGAGTGGAGGAGCGGCGTGGTTGGCACGATCGGAGGTCGCGGCGCGTAACGTAACGTAACGTCGAAGTAAGTATTTTTTTTCGTGGCGCGGAAGAAACCCGATGACGAGGAGGGAGATAGGGGGTGGAGAGGGCGCGCGGCAAGAGGGGTAGCACTGGTTCGGGAAGAGCAGTCAGGGGCGGTCGAGAAGGAGGATGAGGACCGAGGATGAGGACCGAGGATGAGGATGAGGAGGTGGAGATGGAGGAGAAGTGGGGGCGATGGTGCACTCGGTTTTTTCTCCGCTGGGGGAGGGAGGGGGAGACGAGAGGAGGCAATGGGCGCGAGGCAAGGGTGCGTTGGATTCGGTTACTTGGTCTCACCCCTTGGACCACCTCCACCGGCGGTTCTAGCGGCAGCAGCAACAGCGGCGACGGTGGCGGCGGCGGCAGTCGTGCACTCTCTCTCTCTCTCTCTCTCTTTTTCTCCAACTCTCCCTCTCCCTCTCCCTC